CTGCTCTGCCAGTTTTACATTAGTGTACAAACGGATTTCTGACAGTGTTTCAGGACGTGGTGGGTTTTCGCCTGGCAAGCGTTCTCCCTATAAAAAGCCACAAGTGTCCGCTTAACAACACTGCGACGTGGCGGATGTGACTCGCCACTGAATAAAGTCACTGCCCACAACTACATACTGGCAAGCCGACCTGAATCCTAATGTAATATTTTCCTGACAAGTTTTCTCTACAAACGGAATGCCCAGCCTGTTTACACTACGCCCACTATAACCCAACTTGTCGTCATGTTTTGACGAATTTATACCTCAAGATTAATTTTACAATTTCCAAAGCTTGGACAACTTTCGGCTTATTGCCGATTACATACATAGCAACGTGTTTGTTGCGAAACATAAATTGCTTGTAAACGTTGATCATGCCTGGTCAGGTGTGTCTCGGAAATTCGAGAATATACTATTTATTTATTTATTTATTTATATCCTCTTTGACAGTATTACGGATACCAAGAAGGGCAGCTGGGATGCGTTCAGTCCAGTGTGGATCAGGTGAATTAGCTGTGATGGCGGCTTTAAGCTGTCGATGGAAACGCTCGACAAGGCCATTCGAAGCGGGATGATAAGCAGTTGTTCGATTCAAGTCACGGAACAAGGTGGAACTAAACCGAGATCCTCGATCTGTAATGATCGTAGATGGTACACCGAAAAAGGAAATCCATGAATCGAAAAATGCACGGGCGACAGATTCTGAAGATATGTCACGTAAATGAATGGCGTGCGGCCAACGAGTAGAACGATCAACACAAGTCAAAATGAAAGTGAAATTGTTCGATGAAGGAAGCGGTCCGACTATGTCTAGGTGGACATGTCTAAAACGTGCCTAAGGTAGTGAGAATGTTCCGGGGGCAGAAATAGTGTGTCTGTGTACTTTGCTGCTCTGGCAGCTGAGACAGTGTTTAGCCTATTGACGGATATCAGAGCGCATACTAGGCCAGATGTAGCGATCAGTAATCAACTTCACAGTGGATCAAACGTTAGGATGCGATAGTCCATGAAAATGGTCAAAGACGGTTCGCCGGAAAGACTGTGGAACAAACGGTCTTGGCTTACCGGTGGAGACATCACAGTGAATCCTTGCGTCTGAGTTTAAAATTGGTAATTGCAAGAATTTCAATGCGGTATTCGATCGAAGCTGAGCGAGTTCAGGATCGTTGTTCTGAGCAACAGAGATTTCCTCAAGGTCTATTGGTGAGGACGATAGTTGATGTATGTGAGCACGTGAAAGTGCATCAGCGACAACATTATCTGGACCATCACGGTAGCGAATGTCGACACAAAATTGTGAGAGGTAATCCAGATGTCGTGTCTCTCTCGGAGAATAGCGATCGGAAGCGGCACGAAATGCGTAGATCAAAGGCTTGTGGTCCAACAGAATTACAAAACGTCGTCCTTCAAGGACGTGACGAGAGTGTTTGACGGCCAAGTACATCGCGAGAAGTTCGCGACCGAAAGTACTGTACCTAGTTTGTGCTGGTTGTAGCTTCCGAGAAAAGAAAGACAGCCGCTGAATCTCATTGCCAATTACATGTTGAAGTAGAGCGCCGACAGCGGATTGTGAGGCATCAGTCTTGAGAACGAGAGTGGCTTTCTCGTCGGTGTCCAAGTAGCGCCGGGAAGTTACCTGGCTTAACTTCTGCTTGATGGCAACAAACGCTGTTTGGCTTCTGGCGTAATGATGAACTTCTTTGAATTACCTTTAAGTAAATCTGTCAAAGGCTGAAGAACAGCAGCACAATTGTCAAGGAATCTTCCGTAATAATTAAGCATGCCAAGGAATCGGCGCAGGTTTTTAACGGATTGGGGCAGTGGATAGTCCATGATTGCCTGGGTTTTCTCAGGCAGATTGACCAAATAGGCATTTATCAGGATTGATGGCTATCCCGTGATGGTCGAAGCGTTCAAATACTTGTCGGAGGTGATTCAAGTGCTCTTCTGACGTGGCACTGGCTATGAGAACATCGTCAATGTAGACAAAAACAAAGTCTAGACCACGGAGGACCTGGTCTATGAAGAGCTGAAAGGACTGTGCCGCATTGCGAAGGCCAAAAGGCGTATGAATAAACTCGTACAAACCGAAAGGTGTGATAACGGCAGTTTTAGCAATGTCCTCAGATGCCATTGGAATTCGATGGTACGCTGGTACAAGGTCAAGCTTGGAAAAGACTGATTTCCCGGACAATCCCAATGAAAAATCATGAATATGAGGGATAGGGTATCTGTCGGGAATAGTAACGGCGTTGAGTGCCCGGTAATCACCGCATGGACGCCAATCACTGGACTTTTTGGGTACAAGATGAAGCGGAGAAGCCCAACCACTGTTGGACGGGCGAATGATTCCAAGCTTGAGCAGGTGCTCGAATTCGCGTTTAGCTACTTGGAGCTTGTCAGGTGGAAGACGTCTCGGTTTGGCTGACACGGGTGGACCTGTGGTGACGACATGATGACGAACCTCGTGTTTAGGCTCGGTGAAGTCGGTATTAGGACGGATCAAAGGCGGAAATTGCTAAAGCAATGAGGAATACGGCGTAGAGTCTGGCATGAGTACGCGAAGTCCAACGGAAGTGACTGGGGCGAGATGGCAAGGGACAGTGAGCGAAGTGCTGTCGTCCCGTAACTTCCTGCAACGTAGGTCGACAACGAGGCCGAATTTGCTAAGGAAGTCGATGCCAAGTATGTGATTCTGGACATCAGCGATGGTAAAGATAAAAGGAAAGTCGCGTCGTAAACCAAGGCTTAGGTGTAACAGCTATTGGCCGTATGTCGCGATCTTGGTCTGGTTAGCCGCCTGTAACGTAAGTCCGGCATGTTGCAGAGGGCGTTTTTCCAACGAACGTGGTATAACGCTGATTTCTGCGCCCGTATCGACCAAAAAATGGAGTTTAGTCGTGGAGTCGAACACGTACAGAAGGCGACTGAGGATTTGGCCAGCGACAGCCGTCGCCATTACTGGCTGGCTTTGGCGTTTCCCGGTTGCGAAATCGAAGTTCCCTTCGGATATTTGCATCCCGGGCGACAGTTACGTGCTGGTTTACCGAAGCGACGGTGGAAATAACAGTACGACCGCTGACGTGAGCGTGATGTGCTGCGGCGCGGATCACGAGGACTTCTTCGGCTGGTAGTGCGTTCACGTCGAATAGCAGACATGCTGAGTTCTAGACCGGATATTCTATCATTTATCGAATCAAGCGTAGTGCTAGGGGATGAGCTGTCCGTGGTGGACTCAGCTACGTTATTAGGAGTACTCTTAAAGAAACATTCGTACATTTTGTCCGCGGCTTCTGCGAGCTTCTCCAGCGTGATATCGTCGCTAAGAACTGATAATATCGCTGTGATGTTTGCCGGAAGACTTTTGGTCCAAAGTCGGCGGAGTATGGAATCATCTAGTTTCGACGAACCAACTAGGAAATGCATGTGCCTTAGAAGCTGGGATGGGGTGCGATCGCCAAGCTGGACGCCGGAAAGTAACTGTTGCAGAAGAGCTTCGTCAGACGTAGTTGTGCGTTTAAGGATAGCTGCTTTCAGTTTATCATACGGCGATTCAACAGGCATAGGGTCAAGAATATCAATGACTTCAGATGCAATGGAGACAGGTAAGCGCGAGACGACGTAAGAGAAGATGGAAGACTGTAAAGTGATCTTACGAAATCGAAAAGTGGCTTCCACCTGAATAAACCATACGCGTGGATTGGAAATGTCAAAGTTAGGAAGCGAGAGTTCGACGGAATTGTCCGTAAAAACACATGGAGTATGGTCCGACATGACTAAGAAAAATACGTGTTCGATAAAAATAAGGCAGGGTCACCAATGTATGTAGTGGTCGAAAAATACTAGGAAGGTTTCAACCCCTTTATAAAAGGCAAAAAGTTGGAGAGGGTCAACTCACATTTTCATCACAGTCGAGTTCGAGTCGTAGGTTGCTCTATACCTGGGACACACGTCGAGCACAATGGCAATAGACGTTCGATAATAATTCCGAATATACTATCCGATTTTCAAGCAGACTGGACGGCACCGTACACACGCAGAAGCAGCACAGCCAGAAACCAGCACGACGGAACGCGGGGCGCGAAGAAGTGTATATTCATCATTAATTCAAACAAACTGTACAAAAGATGCCATGATAAAATTGATGACAAGGAAGACAAAATGTGAAAGATTAAAAACCACTACAAGCTCATCAACAGCTTTTTTCATTTTGATCCGATCTTCCGGGGAGATCTCTCAAGACATTAAATGGCTTGCCTTTGAGACGTTAGGTCCGTTGGAGGACGCGTCGATATTCTTCCTCGTTTTGGAACACAACCTTTAGGGGGCGAGACTTGAGGGAAACTTCTTGTTTCCTACCTAAGCGGAAATCCGCGATAATGCTGATTCCCTATTCACCTACGTCGAATAATACAGAGATAAGTCGTTCTAGGAAAGCTTGGTCGTCTAAAATCCTTAGAGCTGGGGCATCTTCGTTTGATCCAGGCGAATTCAAAACGATGAGACATCGATGAGACATGGGTTGACAGAAGGGGGAATGTTTACAAACACGTGGTAGATTATGCAACGATTAACATTGATTCCGATCACCAGTTCGGTTCCATGGTTGCCACTTCCACAGTTAAGTTCCATCGTAAAACAATTGATACTTACAAAACATATGCTTTGGATACTCATATATTTCGGAAAATTAACCGTCCATGCTATTTCATTTTGCGAAAACATAGCGCTACCTTACCTAAGCGACCTTACACACTTATTTTCTTTTTTAATCGCTTGCGTACAGTTATATATGAACTTGATACATTTTTACAACCGCACTTAAAGTTTTTAGCTTTTTGTAAATCCTGACCTAATTATATACAGAATCCGCAATAAATACCCCTATTAAATCCCATACATTTAGAGAACGCAGAACTCAGTTGTCCTGATGAACGACAGCCAGTATTCAAAATTCCGCCATTGGCGAATTCAACGGTTCCCTAGCTCCCAATTACCTCTTACTTTCATTTCATTTTGGTGCCAACGGTTACCAATATTAACCATCATATTGGTACGTTCGAATCCCGATTTTCAGCTCAAACGGACTAGAAAGAACTAATCTCCCCTCAATTCTGAACAAGTCTATGCAGCCAACTGCATAACTTACCCATCTGGAATCCACACGGTTTCCTGTGCTACCATTGGCCAGCCACTCGAGGTCCCCAACCATCCATGCATTTAAGCCGTCGGGTTGTTCTGACAGCTGCCACAATGGTTTCGGAGCACAAAAGTGTGCATGCGACGGGGAGTATGTTGCGGAAGGATGTGAGTGGATTGTGCTTTTCATTTAACACCTTTTACAAGGCGGTTTCTTTTGGTCCAGTGGAGAGAGATTCTCTGGGCTTAACAGGTCTTCTTCCACCCATTGGAGGTCGAGGAGCGGAGTTTCAAGGAAAAAAAGGAAATGCTTTCGTTGAAGCCATTAGTATAACTCGTTTACGTCAGTTTGCGTCCGACTTTGACAGATATGATTGGCTGATGAACCTCTGTGACAAGGACAAGGAGCACTTTTATCGCCTAATGAACAAGCATGCCGATTATTTATTGCCCCTCGTATATACCCCTACTGTCGGTCAGGCTTGCCAAAACCTCAGTTTAGTTTATAACAATGGCAGGTGAGCCATTCTACACCAATATGCAGGTCCGGTTTTGTGCACGCGATCGAGTGGCGTTGGAGCCACTTCACTGAAAACAGGAGTCCAAGCACACCTACAATGTTGTTGCACACAGTCTGGCTCATTCGTTTACGGTCTTTACGGTCCCATGCAAGCAGCGATTCCGACGTTACGCATTTTATTCTATGTAATCTATTGCCTGTGTAGCGACCTGGAGATTTTGCCATGTGGTTATCATATGTTATAATATGACAAGTTATGTTTTCATTTAATGCTTCGGGTAAGTAGACAGTTTATCGCACGTTGATTACCTTTGATTTTATTCGCTCATCCGGAACGTGCCCTGATAACACGAGTGACCGATTTCCATCCAATGACCGTCCGGTTTCCGTATGCCAAATTTCGGACAAAAATCGGACACATAGATACATTGACACCCCCGCCTACAGACATTTACATAGTCGTTTTAACTGCAGTCGCTGCCTAAGTAACCCGAAATCTGCCCCTGACGCTCCCGTAACATACTTTCCTTTTTGTGTTTGTATGCTTCTTGTAGCTCTTGTGTGCCCTTCAGCTTGGCGAGTTTGTACCTTTCGGCAACAAACGTACACCGCTCCTTTTTATTTATTACTTTTTTAAAACGGTTAGTTACTCTGCGAATACAGCATTAGATTACTGATTGCACCATATCTATGCGAGAAACCAATTTCCTCTGCTTGAATGTGAAGCACTTTAAATCGCATACCCTGGTTCTGTCAGACCATCTTAGCCCCATCCATTTACTGTCCTGCTATATTGGCCTTGACATGTTATCAGCATTCGAATAACCGCTTTGTCGTCATCCTTAACACTGCATAGATGCTTTATTGTCATGTAGCTATGTTGACTTCATAACCGTACGATTCCAGATAAACAATCGAGGACAAGATGTCTGCACCTTATCATTGACATGACCTGTAACAGTAGCTGAGATTCGTCTGATCTATAACTAACGTATTGCATGGCTTTGATGGTGGCTATCGTGCAGTGATAAAACGGTCTTACTGAGATAGCTACATTGCTTTCTTTTACAACCCTGCGCCATAGCTTTTTTACTTCACGGATAGCTCAGCATCAGGCACACTGACACGTGAGCTCGCTGAGAAATCTCAGCAAATGCGCTGTTGATGCTTCCGGCTTGCCATGTGATGTCCGAAGATATGCGAAGGATGGATCATGTGCACTAGGGCCTGGTAGACCAGTTGGGTCAATTGCACCCAGTTTATTTCTTTATTTCTTATTTCTTTATTTATTACCACCAAATCGACTTTTATCAGTTTTCATCCGGCAACCAAGTCAAAATTCACGGTAAGTATTGGTTGAGCTTGCGTTGCATGTGACAATATTACCGCCATTTAGTCGGCGCACCGTATCGTTGCAGCAAACATTGACACTCGACGCAAGAACTCATCCGCAACTATCGATGAAGACTTGAATACCCCAAGGCCCTTAAACAAAACCGATCAACTATTGCTCCTACTGTCTTATCGCGTGTGTGGCCCTCTGGACTGGGACGAAATGTAGTTCGGGCATTTGCAATACGTGGGCTCAACTCAGCAATCAGTCAGTTGACATGATAGGCAGCCTAATCAACTTTCTCCAATTCATCATCAGCAAGGGCATGGGTGCTATCCAGACGCTGATTAAACGGGCAACAACCCTCTGCACTTTGTGGTTCCTACAACACATTTTGAAACACGATAGCTGGAAAGGCCTCATTCATTTGATTACGTTGCCTCGCGATCACCACAATGATGTGATCTTATCTGCATACTCCGGACCAATCAGTTTTTCCTGGGCTACACATCAGTGTAGGTTTGTTAGGATTCTACTGGGGGACCTACCAGGATGGGGTCCTCAGTAAATCTGGACCCAATTATAAAGTGAGAAAACACTGACTTCAACAACTCGTCTTTGGACCTTACGCGACCTTTTGCGTTATAGTACAGGGCACTTGAAATGTTCACCAAATCGATGAATTGTCTGTGAGCATATGGAAAAGAACGGATCAGTCAACTAATCTAACCAATCCTTTAAGTCTGAACCTAACTGCAGTCTGATGCTCATTTCCTTGCTGTACCACCTAGTGTAGACTTGGATTGTGATACACGCACCTCACTCTGACAGGCTTCTGCCCACTCTTTCGTTCTGGATTTCCGTTTTTTAGTAAGTTTGCAGACCAGAATTTAGCCATCTGACTTTCATTAACAGAGTTGCGCTGAAACCTCTGTGCTTACCACGAAGGATGCGGTCATTTAACCTTAACCCGTCAGAACGGCTTCTTTTTATTGCTTGCTCGAACAAGTGGGCCAATGCACTGCAGTCAACCTGAGTACCCTCTGAAATTTCGCGACTGCAAGAGAATCCGGACCTGCAACGCGGAAGCGATAGAGCGTTGTTTTCGCGTTTCAAGCCCAAGTATCTGTCTATAGACCAATCGTTCCTTATACAATACACCACCCGAACATGAAACTCTTTACTATCGGGTGCCAATTGAGCTACTTCGAAATCGATCTACACCACGTGGCAAATGAAGTTCCTTGTTTTATGATTTGGGCAGCCAGTACTGTCCCTGCTTATGTCAGCGAGTTCCTCGGACTGTTGACATAGACCATACGGGACAGCGTAGTAGTTACCCGTCTCTCCTACCTCCTCCAACTCCCGAGCCCGCAGTGTGCCAAACCTTTTTTTCAACTCTTAGGCTCCGCGTTAGTCCGCGGTTTGACCACATCTAGTCCAGTGTTCCGGATTCCTCGTATATCCCGCGATTAATGCGCTGACAGTTGCTAGTACGACGTCGTGTAGGGTATCTGAAATACTGTTCCACTGATGTTCGATTTTCCCAGAGTAGTTTGATGCACATGACACCCTGGTAAGGTTGCCTAACTGACGGCCGCAACGGCTTCGCATTTGGCAGCGGTGGAGTCATTTATTGTGATTCTCGCTGACGTTCTTGTAAAATCGAAAAGTGATGATCAGAGTCATCTCAAACTCTGAACGAACGCGAGCTGGGGATGAAACCACTGCGCATAAACTTTATGAAGATGGGGTCTATTTGTACCCCTCGCTTGCCAGCCATCATAGGAAATAAATTAACACATCGATGTCCACTGCGTCTGAAGATAGCGTTCCCAAGAAGCAGCTGATGATTGGCGCAGAGCTGTGCCACCAGTTTCTGTGTTTGTGATTTCACCCATTAAAACCCGCCTACATGCGTTTATGACAGGTTCAGACAACCTGTTTGCGCATTCGTATAATAGATAACTGGAAGGAATCTGAGCGGGTAGCATTGCGAAGTTGCTGGTGAGGTTAGTCGTTAAAGAAGTCTTCGATAACAAAACGTGTATATACACCATTTTTACTTTAAATTGTACACGTTGCATTCCAAGCAGAATGTCGGTACTTTGTTAACAAGAAATGAGGAAGAAGGCAACGGTACGATGTTCAGACCACATTGTGGTTATGCTAAAGCGACCGAACTGGGCAAGCAGCTTGGGGTTATGCAAGCTTGTCTCTTGATCACGGGCGTCATCCACCTTGATCAAAGGCAGAAACCCAATTTTCTCCCGTCACTCTAGAGGCCGCGTGTTTCGTTTGAGTGTGGACCAACCTATTCAGCTGCGCTACTATTGGAACGATGTAAATTGTTATTCCTCCACCAAACCCAACCTAGCTCTATTAGCTTTGTGCGAGCGACGAGAGGACGCATTTCCGATACAAGGACGGTGCAAGCGAACGTCATCAGCGCAAAAAGACATTCTTAGCCTGTGTTAGTCGACGACAAAATCACCCACGATGTTGCTTAAGTTGCCGCTGTCAACGACAGTACGGCAAGACATCCTCAATGCCTACGGGCGAGAACGTGCCGATGTTCGGCATATATGGGGGGACAGGGTGAACCTGACTTCCGATGTCCTGCAGCGCATTGAAGTGACTGTTTTACAGCATTATGAGGACACTTTGATGCAGCTGCATCCACGGCTGAGAGATAACGCGATCTTTTTTCTGTATTTCCTGTCTTCAGCGCCTTCAGAAAACTGAAGATAACGCTCAAGGAGGGCCCCTACGAGCTAGAACGCGTACACAGTGCCACGACGATCGCAACATGGCAGGCGTACGCTCTCCGCATCTCGCTGCATTCCCTACTTCTACATGCTAACCCCGGCAGCTTGGTTTGAGTAACACCCACTTTATGTTGAAAGTAGTATATCAACAGAAACGAAAGCAGTATCTTTAGAGACGGTCAATTGATGCTGGGCTATCCTGCTGCTGCGGATCAGCCATCCACTATTCATCTCCACTCTGCAACGTATACGCACTTCGAGTTCCTCGACGAACGTCGAGAACTTTGCACTATTGCAGGTGTCGTTGATAATCCGTTTACTGAACGATGCCTTGATTATTCTTTGCCACAGTCAACGTCACACGTCATTGTGGACGAGAGAACTTTCGCACGCGTCTCTCTTCTTGAGCGAGCCTGCGTCCGCTGCAGTTGGTGACCAAATCCGCTTTCATCTATGAAGTTGCCTTTCTCTTTGTCATGCGGTGCGTGTGCCAGGAGCTCGAGAGCTTAGGCCTGCCAGGTTGCAATCGTCGTGACACTGTCGACGCGATCTGGCTAGTAATGGCACCTTTTATACGTTATTTGAGCCTTCTGAAGGGGTTAAAGACCGTAAGAATGTCCTTCTGTGCCGATGACGTTCGCTTGCACCGTCCTTGTATAGGAGATGCGTCCTCTCATCGCTCGCTTTGGTCGTTTCGTACAGCACCAATCTAATAGAACCAGGTTGGGTTTGGTGGGGGAACAACAGCTTACATCGTTCCAATAATCGTGCAGCCGCATAGATTTGTCCACTCACTCAAACAAAACACGCGGTCTCTAGTGTGACAGGGGAAAACTGGATCTCCGCCCGTGATCAAGAGACGAGCTTGCACAATCGTACACTGCTTGCCCGGTTCGG